GTGCACAGCATGTTGTTGAAGCATTATCGCAAACGCAATGTGGATAGAAGTGTCACCGAGATCACCCTTGTTGTTGCAAAAATAACTTCTCCTGCATGTTTGTTACATGCGATGATTTACTGTACCAATTCATGGCTATGCAGTTTTACACAGCTCATTTGCATATTGTACAATTGAGGCTCTAGTCGAACTTGGTCTGTCCTTACATCAGAACAAATTAGAATGTGCACGTGTGATGCAGGCTGTAGTAACGGCGATTAAATTTGGCTGATGAGCTACATTTCTGCCGATAAGATACCTCGCACGTTTTCATGAGGTTCTCAAAGTTAGAGCTGAACGTCATCATTATTCATATGTTCACTTCAGAAACCCTTCTGCAGCCACTGCAACTTCCTCTGTTGCGGCCGCTGCTTGTAAACATGCTAGAAACGCCCCGACGCGCTGTTCTAGAATGCAGCTTGTGCACTTTTTGCTCCACTTGTCAGGTGGTCATATAGGGCGGTTGCGCGCTTTTAGCTGGGGCGACTGGGTGGAACCAACGTGCTGTGACGTCTTTCGGTGCCTACCATGTTTAGAAACATAAACATTCATCTTCGGGATGGAGATCTACTAAGGGTCAACGGGGATGCGTCTGCGTTAAACGGTGCTTTAGCTTTGGAACACCACCCAGCAGTTCCTATATGAATGTACAGTATGGTCCACTAATGGAGGGGACACTGTGACGCGTGACTGGCGGCCCGCTTGGCGCATACTGGCGGCGAGATTTGTAAACACAGCGCATGCGCCTAGAAGCGACAGGGTGGGGCCTGCCGCGTTTCGTCTGCTACTTTCCGCTTCCAGTGCGCTGGATACCGCGTTCACTTTTTCGCGGTGTATTATATTCCCGGCCACTCTCCCTGCCCGGATAATCGGCGAGCGGAAAAAAAAAAGTGTCGTTTGTTTGTTGTTGTGCATTCTCGGTAGCTTTGTTGCGATTCCATCCATGGCAGCAGCCGATTTCAGAATACAGGCGAAATGCGAAAAAAAAAAGTCATGTGCCTATAGCATTTAGAAAAAGCTTAAAGAAACACGAGTTTGAAAAATCTTCAATGTATCCCACTACGGCGCGACACAAAATTATATAATTTTTGCGGATTTAAATAGCCAGCAAGTCTTAGTTATAACCTCTGTTACATTTCGTTTTATTCGTTGAAGTGAAAACGCTAGTAGCTCCTTATTTGGAACATACAATAGCGTTAATTTTTGCGAAAATCATTACGTTTCAGCAATACACGAGCCAAAAAACGGTGCACTTGGAACACTATGGAGTAAACGAAGAAAAATATATAGGCTATGGAACCTTCGTGACAGACAGGTCGAGTGAGGTCACATCTGTACCTCGAAAGATTTGAATAGTGCAAAGCTAATGAAACAAATCTGTGCCCTGCGAAACACGATATAAAATGCATCTTTGTGTAAGCAAAATAGGACTACGCGTGAAATAACTATGCACTGCAAAAAATTAAATTCGTAAGGCTGATGATAATGTTGGTAATTAGAAAGTAGTCTTTTCGCAATGGCAGTAACAGCACGCTGACTCTATTCTTCGGCGTACAGCTCGACTATTCGAAGCTTTTCCTTCTCAGGCGCTCTAGCCATGCCGCTTCTAAGAACTAGCTCTGCCGAAAACGCGATCAGCGAGTAAATACTCCCGCAGCTGTGGAATTCAGTGAAAGTGATAACGAAGCCCATCATTCACGTAGCCTGGTGTTTTTCCCACCGAAAATTTAATTGTAAGATTTCCAAGCGCTCTTCGAACCAGCCAGCCTCTTTTGATAAGACATGAAAATCGATGGTCGATGAAGTGAGCACAGCAAGCTTGTCGCTAGCGCACACCAAGCGTAGGGTGGGGAAGTAGCAGACGACGCGGGCAAGTACCGCCCTTGCGATTCTGCGCTCATGCTCCGCATTTCCAAATCTCGCCAGCAGTTGGCGCCCCGCGGACCACCAGCCATGCGTTCGTGTGTTTCCCCTACCAGCGGACCGTACTGTACAGTAAACATCAAACTACTTATGTTAAGACACATTTTGCTTTCGTGCTGCTGGGTTTTATGACGTGAAGATAAAGTGTTTTGCCCCCATTTCATTCACACGCCATGCCTAGAAGACTGCAACACTTTTGGTTGAATGCAACTTGAGTATTATTTCCTTTTCACTTTTCAAGAGGACATGGTTTTTTAACTCTGTTGCTACAATATGTAAACTGCAATATTCACCATAAAAAGTAGAAATGCGGTGGGCGCAGGTGGATTGTAATTATCCTATGTCAAAAATTTTTCGCTAGCATAACTTGCCACCATTAGGCATGAGGTCGCTTCTTTGAACTGCTCTCGCGCACACTTCGAGCAGACAAAAGAATGGGCCTTTTGTGGGCGGCTGAACAAAGCCTACATTATTATGATGAGTCGCCTCGACCTTCTAGTGAGCGTAGGCGACACGCCATAAGGTGTTCCAATGTGTGTGATTCGAAGGGCTGGTAAATGTTTTTCGTGCAGGGCACTTTAGAGGCCTGGGCTGCCGTCGCTTGGTGGAAGGCAGACAAAACCACGTACAAATATTCGTGATAAGAAACGATGAGTCGAGATAAAGAAAGCAGAATTGTAAAGATACATACCGAGATAGACAGAAAAAGCTGGAAAAGAGAAAGTAGGAGAAAACAAAGAAGTTCGTCCACCTTCACTCTGCTACTAGTGCGAAGCTACCTGGATTTTTAAAGTGATGTGCCCTGGCGAACATTAGTCTGAATTATGAACAACTTTTTAGGCGAATGTGAGCTTCATAAAGGAAGCACAATTTTTTGTCTGTCACACGATTCATCCATTCAACCAAGGTTTAAGCAATTGTTGAAGGCTGATGGCCACCTTTACACTTGGCAACATTGTCCATCAAAAAGCAATTATTACACATACTTGAGATGCAACATTGATACATAAACAATACGCGAAGTGTTCTTTCACTGGACAGTACATAGGTACGTACTTATGAAAAAACTAATCGTTCTTACGCAGCGCTGAAAATACGACGTTATGCAAAAAAAAAAAAGACTGCCAGTAGGATACTATCATCTTCCCATGACATTTGCAGTGAAGCGCGCAGATATTCTTTTGTACGGATGGATGCTATCAGCGAGGCTGAGACTAGAGGTAATTTCGCCATGTGGCATTGCTAATGCATTGACAGAATTGCATTTCAGCTATAGCAAACGCGCCTAACGGGACGGCAACCTAGATAAATGTGTTGAGACTAATCGTGTATGTCACAGACACTACACAGTATTACTTCACTATACCAAAAACGCTGGGAAGAAGACAGTGTTAGACATAAGAGGAACGTTTGTAGAACTTCCAGAGTGCCTGGCCGTTGCACATGGGTGCCATGCCCGGCCTCTCTTGTGGTGGACAAATAGGTCGAAACTTAGACTCCCGTTGACCAGACCTTACTTCTTTACTTTCTGACTGCGTATCTTTTCGACATCATTTCCGTGATGGAAGTCACCGTGAATCTCGGCATAAAATACTTTCGTGTGAAAAAGTTATGCACTAACACAAAGGGTACCTTTGCATAACAAGCATTCGTATGAAGCACTGTGCTACAATTTGAGTCATTGAGGTTTCTTCCACACACTGATCTGATGAGGAAGTGGATCAAGCTGCACTTGAACATGCTTATTATCCGGAAGGCAATAGTAGTTAGCTTACAAAAAATACATGTTCGGACAAAATAAACAAAGGTGCACACAAAGCGACCAATAGCGCTGAAATTTTAGACATGTGTAGCTTGTTTCATTTGAGACCTCACTCTAGTATGTCTTCGCTCAAGCGGCGACTCCCCCTTTTTTCTAGCTTGTATTGGAGCATTAGTACCCGGACGCCATGCTTTCGCGATGAGATGATGGTAAATTGAGGCAAGATTTTGCAGTGTAAAGGCAAAGCTTGATGCTATCTAGCTTCAAGCTATTGGGTTTCTGTTCGCAGTATTCAAAGGAAAACCCAGCATCAAAGAAAGCAAGTTCATTAGTCGGCTCACATACGTACACCTAAAGTAAACACATTTACAACGTTGCAGGTCCACGTGGTGAATATTTCGACTCGTAAGATTAAAGAAGATATGTGAAGAAAGCTATTAGAGCATTTATATGTGCACACTTGATATTATTTTTACATAACCATTAAAGAATGGGTCAAGATAATTCTTTGATACACACTACGCGTTTCCATTTCGTAGATTCAATGTTTTGCTTGTATCTGTTGAAAACACTCACGTGCACGAATAATTCATGCAGCAAATTGATGGACATTTCAAGAGATTGAACAGAAATAATTTCTAATGGCTTTTTCTATTTGGCCTCCTACAATTTAAACAGTATAACAATACCAATTGCTGAGCCCCGACACGGTGGTCTAGTGGCTAAGGTACTCGGCTGCTGACTCGCAGGTCGCGGGTTCGATTCCCGGCTGCAGGCGGCTGCATTTCCGATGGAGGCGGAAATGTTGTAGGCCCGTGTACTCAGATTTGGGTGCACGTTAAAGAACCCCAGGTGGTCAAAATTTCCGGAGCCCTCCACTACGGCGCCTCTCATAATCAAATGGTGGTTTTGGGACGTTAAACCCCACAAATCAAGCAATACCAATTGTTGAAGCAAACAAGGCGCAACTGCTATTAAGCGCGGCGATTCCTGCTTCACAAGTTTTAAAGACAATGCACTGACATGGAACCATATGAGTGATAAGTTTGCTGTTTCAGTACTGATGAAATTACGCTGTCTGTTGCACTAATTTTTTTCTGCAGTGTATAATGTGCACAAGATAAAAAGCCAGAATGCGCACGCCTGCAATTTCTCTGCAAGCGAATTAAATCTCTCCGGTCAAGGCCGTTCGAGCTTTAGAAATCAATTCCGTCATATAAGCCATTTCTATTTGTGCCACTTAAAAGGACCACCAAACATCTGCCTCTCCACGCAGGTTTTCTAAGGATATCGACACGGCTGATGTGACGTTGCGCTTCAACCTACGAATGCTCATGATGCAGTTCTTCAGGACAGTGGTGTCGTTCATCCTGATCTCCATGGAGAATCCTATATTCTTGGCGGCGGTGATCCCACTGCTCATTATCTACTACTTTGTACAGGTAATCAGCACATAGCATTCTCTTTTTGGTGAAACTTATTGTGAGCATACTTTTTGAATTCAAGGGTTGACCAGTTGTACTAAGCGTGATATGAATTATGTGGGGAGCATTTTTAGTCTCTTTGTGTCAGTTGTTTCAGGTTCTTGATTAGGCCCTTCCATACAATGCTTGCCACCTGTATGGTTTCGGAGACTAATGATAGGCTGCCTGTTCCAGAAATTCTACATAGCCACGTCGCGTCAGCTGAAGCGGCTGGAATCCATCTCTCGTTCTCCGATCTACGTTCACTTCTCGGAGACGGTGTCCGGCAGCAGTTCTATACGGGCATACGGCGCCGGCGAGAGATTCGTGGCTCGCTCCAATGAACTCACCGACATCAACCACAGCAGCTTCTTTCCCAGCATTGCGGCCAGCCGGTGCGTATCTGATGGCCAAGCCACTGTTTCACATCAATGGCGTTCTTTCAGAACAGCGTTCGCACAAATCACGATTACAAAAGAGCAAAAGTAGTGAAGCCTTGAGAATATTTGGTCTCGTAACGACGGGAAAGGCGCAAAATGAAGGTTAGCTGCTGTCCCACTGCAAGTGTATGGAGAGAAGGTAAGTTGTGCAGTACGGTGTCATACTAGGACGCCTACATTGGTAGGGTTCTCAAATAGCCTACTTACATGATTAGCCTGAAGCATATCCCAAATGAACTAGTCGAGTTTTTCACTTCACATGTGGTTGGCATGTTTCGCTGTCACCATAGTGACTGCAACTCAGAAGCAGGAAAAGAGGCGCATGCAAGGAAGATAATGGAACAAAAACATGAATGCGAATGAATGCCTCTGCTGAGAAATAGTCAATGACTCTATAAGCATTTTCTTTTACCAATGTACTGACGCGTGAAAAGTGACACCTATTAAAGGCTATAGCGTCCTTACCATTGCTGAGACAGAACAAGCAGCCAGAAAATAATAGGGCTGCAATCGTCACGTATCGAGGTAGTTCGTAGTTAGTGCGACGCTTCTTTCAAGCAGGTCTTGCCAGCTCTTGTTTATGGCACTTATGTTAATAAGGACTATAACGACGATGTTACGCTGCTCGGCTGCTAACATGAAAATGCTGGCATCAATTCCGTCCACACTGCCGATATCACAATAATGGATGCAATTGGGTGCCACCAGGTATTCAAATGAGAACTTCTGGACACCCAGGAAAACAGGCATTGTCAACGCAGTATGACTGATGCCGAACCTGCCACGTCCTCTACAGCCGCTATATGCAGATGGCTGACGTAGCGCGACTTCGGTGCACACGCAAGTGTTTTCACTCGGCGTTGATGCCTGTGTGCGTTGGCAGGCTACCGAATTAATATTCCGGGTTGATGTTCGAGTCCCAGAAAAAACTTAAGCAGTCGCGGATACAGAAACTCGGGCGAGTTCGCAAACTCGATTACGTTTTGCCGCTGATGAAAAGAAGTTCTGTTTTGACTCGCAGAAAAATTATTTCCTTTGAATACACAAATACCCCACGACACATAGAAAAGAGGGGGTGACTGGCTGTCACCTGGAAGGTCGCAACACCTGCCTACTTTTTCGTGAGAAAAACATATCAGTTACAGGAAAGAAGATTGGGAAGTATAGGAAAGTGACGAATATTTCGACAAAGTAAGCAAGAACAAGAAAGCTCTGTGAAAGGGGGGCGTGTTCCTTTCGGTCCGCAAATCTGTAGAGGTCTTCACGTTTCTCGGTGCTACCAGGCGGCAGAGCTTCGCACAGGAAGCAATACCAACTAGGTCAACATATTCTCCTAAGAGTTAGCAGAGATGGTTCGCCTTAGCGGACTACGCTGCCATCATGCCATACCTTGCTCAAGAGTTTCCAACGTTTTAGACCTCTACTCAAATAAAAACTCAGCGGTAAATATGGTATGGTCAACATTAGGAAATATTGTAAGGCGTTGCATAGACAAGTTTGTTCCAGCAGTAACAAAAAAAAAACATCAGAAAGCGCAAATTACTGATCACGCACGACAGAATTCATACGAAGGGTAAATAAAAAAAAGCTCAGAAAAGCTCAGAGAGTACACCCACGCAGTAGTATTGCGTCGGAAATCCCAGCACTGTCAAGGTCCCTTAAGACCAAAGTGAGTCTAGCGAAACGACGCTTTCTAAGCTACTCTTTACACAGTTTTATCAAAACAGTGCCTCATGAGTTCTGGCGATACATAAGCGTGCAGCATACTAACAAAGCATATACGCCTACCCCGGAAGCAAAACAGAACAGTTACTTTCAGCCTGTTTTCACCGCTTATAATGGCCTACTTCAATGCGGCCAGTTCTTACTAAGTGACATAGATATACCATTAGACATCCCCTTCATATAGCAGGCCGGTGTACTAGCCCTCTTGCTAAAACTCAACGAAAAGAAAAACACTGGTCCAGATGACGTTCTTAATTCCTTTTTAAAGCGATACGCTGAGCCTGTAAGCAAGTTACGTCGGCTAATATGTTTAGTCATTTCGCGTTGGTCATCTCCCGGCTGACTGAAAACTAGCAAAGATAGTACCTGTGCATAAATCAGGTGATACGATTTCCCCAGCTGACTACAGACCCATACCTCTGACATGCACATCTTGCAAAATAGCGGAAGACATCATCCTGAAATATTTAAGAGTTCGTCTAAAGTCACAACATATTACACTCCAATCAGCATGGGTTTTGTAGCGGCCTGTCGACTGTTACTTAATTATTAAAAACGCTTCATGACTTTGCCAACGATGTTAGCAGCCAACTACAAATTGATGTAATTTTTATTATTCTTTCCAAGGATTTTGATCGCATCAAACGGCGTGCGCGGTAGTTCGATGGGTTATAGGAGCCCCGTAGGCTTTGCTGGTGGTTACTTGCGACGGTGACATTCGCGGCATCATTTCACGTAGCGTTTGACGCAAGCTGCCAGTTTCGGCCAGAAATATAACTGTCGAACACGGTCGAGTGTTCGCGAGTATCGCAGATGGCTGGATACTCATCGTGGCAGGCTAATAGGATTTCATCACGAAGGTCTTGAGAAACGACTAGAAGATAAGATCTGCTGCAGACACAGGTGGTTTCTTGTATAATATGCCCTGTCGTAAGCAAAACGACGGCAACGTACGGGAAAGTAGATGAGGAACAGACGGGGTGCTGCCTTCTGAATGATCGATGATAGGCCTTAACTAGGGGTCCGCTCGCTGCTTACTGAGAGGTCCATCCCACGGGGAGTCCCCAGGAAGGCACTGTCGTCTTCTACAGCTGTATGGTCAGATTCCAGAGGTGCTCGTGATAGTGTGTCGGCGTCTACATGCTTTCTACCCGACTTGTATACGATGGTGACATCGAACTCCTGAAGTCGCAGACTCTATCGTGCTAATCTCCCAGAGGGGTCTCGGAGATTAGACAACCAACATAAATCGTAGTGATCAGTCACAGCTTTAAATGGGCATTCATAGAGATAAGGCCTGAACTGTGTAATCGTCCATATTGCCGCGAGACTTTCCTTCTCTGACGTTCAATAGTTGGTTTCGGCACGCGATAGAGTGCTGCTCGAGTAGGCGATCACACGTTCGGTCCCATCTTGTGTTTGCACCAAGACAGCTTCAAGACCAATGTTGCTTGCGTCAGTGCGCACCTCTGCGTCAGCGTCCTCATCGAAATTACCAAGTACGGGAGGGGAAGACAATCGATGTTGCTGTTCTGCAAGACAGCAACATCGATGCTTGTTCGTCAGTCCACAGAAATGGGGTGCTGTCACGCGTAAGTCTGATGAGCAGCTCCGCCATCTTGGAGAAGCTTTCAATAAAGCGAAGATAGTATGCGCAGAGCCCCAGCTATTGTCGAAGACTTTTCTTGTTTGTCGGAGCTGGAAAAGCGGCCACAGCTGGCAGTCTTTTTGAGATTGGGCTGAACGCCTGCAGCACCCACAACGTGACCAAGAAACTTCAGTTCTTTGTAGCCGAAATGACACTTCTCAGGCTTGAGAGTAAGGTCAGTGGATCGTACAGCTTCAAGAACACTCCAAATGCGACGAAGGGGCTCGTCAAACGTTTTTGAAAAGACGACATCATCTAGATAGACAAAGCAACTTTTTACACTTGATGTCAGCGAGAACGCTATCCCTCATTCGTTGGAATGTGGCCGGAGCGGAACAGAGGCCGAATGAGAGCACTCGGAATTCATACAGACCATGAGGAGTTACAAAAGCCATTTTTTCATGGTCACTTCATCGACTTAAATTTGCCAATAACCACTGAGATCGATTGAGGAAAAGTACTTTGCTCGTCTCAGCCTGTCAAGAGAATCATCCACTCGAGGCAACAGGTACACGTGTTTTATTTGTGAGGTTATTCAGCTTCCTATAATTGACACAAAAGCGAAGTGTACCATCTTTCTCCTTTACAAGGACCACTGGCGATGACCATGGGCTGCTTGATGGTTGTATTGCATCAGCTTCAAGCATTTCCTTCACTTGCTTTTGAATTGCGAGTAGTTCGGTTGGTGAAACGCGGTAAGGCTGTTGCCGTATAGGGTGCGCTTCGCCTTTGGTGATAATACGGTGTTGGTTAATCGATGTCTGATGGATTCTCGATGAACGTGCAAAACAGGCGCGGAATTCTATCAACAGGTCGTTAAGCCTTCGTTTGTTCTCGTCAGAAAGCGTTGGATTTATGTCGACACCCCGGAGTGGTCTTTTGGCATCATCGGTTGCCTCGAAAGCAAAACACACTGTCGCATTGGTTACTGGGTAGGCATAGGCGATGACAGTACCAGGAAAAAAGTATCGGTGCTCGTGGATGAAGTTTGTAACAAGAACCTCGCAGTGGCCAGCCTGGAGGTCTACTAGACTTCGTGCTACGCAGACACCTTGAGAAAAGAGTAGGGAATCGATTGATCTCCACCATTTTACCATGTGCTGATTTCTTACACGCCACTTGAACCATAACACTTGAGCGTGGTGTTATCGCCCCAGCATCAGTCAATTACACGCAGACATACTCAATCGGGGCTGGGATTAAGCTCTGGTGTGGCGCTTTTTGTTGAGAACGTGACGAGGCGTTGTCGAACGTCGATGATAGCACCGTGCTCCCTCAGGAAGTCCATGTCAATGATCAGGTCTTGAGAACACTGACGGAGAACGTTCAAGCTGACAAAAAAAGCTAGAACCACGAATCTGTATTCGTGCTGTGCAAACGCCGAATGGCGTGACCATGTGCCCGCCAGCAGTACGAATTGACCTGAGGTTCCAAGGCATCGTCACTTACTTCAGGAGAGCAGCCTGTTTATCACTTAATATAGCTTGGGGTCAGCTTGGTGAAAAAGACGCGTCATGTCCTCGACATACGTCGCAACTCTTCGTTTGGCAGTTGTATGCGGGACTGCAGATCGTGCTCAGCTCTCTCCCGACGGTTAGGGCTGGCAGATGTCCCAATAAGTCAGCATTTTAGGTCTTCCATGATGTATGAATACCTGCCCGGTTCTCATACCATATACGTGCGCCGTCCAAAAGAGTTACATAGACGTGCTTCAGTTTGCCTGCGTCGTCTCACTGGTTGTGCACGACAACTAACTCGTAAAGAACAAGCTAATCTTAGACATACTCAAGTGCAGTGCCATGAAAGTGATTTGGCGTTCGCGGTGTAAGGTGCAACGAAGCGGCGCTGTGCCTTTCGTACCAATTGTGTTGGTGTCCGTAGGGCTGGTCGGAGCTGTGTTTGTTTGCGAGCAGTCCAAACTCAGAAGGTTGCCCTCGGGTTTTTATTCTGGCTCGGTGCACAGGAGTGACCACCGGTTCGGCGCTTGAATTCTTGCTGTGTGGAGGGGTATGGTGCATAGATTACTCAGCATGTGCACCAGTTTGTTACGCACTAAGAGCCGTAAAGACAAGACAGGAACAGCGGGGCAGAAATACACGAGCTTGTATCTTCAAACAAAGCGCTAACACACACTTGTTCGTTCTCTTTGCCCTTTTCGGCTCGCTAGGGCTTGCCGGCTCATAAGTGTAGGTGGCAATATAAACGATATAACTAAGCACGTAGACGTAAACATTGGGCTATTTGCAGATGACTGCGTACTGGATCACACAATCAAAACTGAAGATGACCAAACAAAATTTAGTAATTATCTGTACTAAGTGATGCAGTGGTGTTCAGACTGGCAAATGGTGGTAAATGCAGGAAAGACTGTGTACATGAACATTGCAAACAGGAAATCAAGAATTACCTTTCTTAGAGTATCAACAACACCCCCCTACGAAACGTTTCACAGTACAAAAATTTAAGTGTACTATAAGCAGTGACTTAGGCTGGACGATGCATGTGCGGCAAATTAAAAAAAAAAAAGAGCAGTGAACTAAATTGCTCCTCCTCAAGCGATCGCTTGCCGGGTTCACCTTTTAAACACGTTTTCTTGTCTGCACCAGTCTCATCCAACCGACATTAGAATACGCTAGCATAGCGTGGTTTCCGCCCACTAAACACATCACTGCGCTTGAGCAGGTACAAATAAAGCTGTTCGTTCCATTTTCAATCGTTACAGGCGTAGTGATTCCCCGATAGAACTTCTTCGGCTGGTCGGCCTCACTAGTCTGTCTAATTGAGCAAAAGTGCAGATTGAAATTACTGTGTCTGTTGTTACAAAATAGCTTTAAGATCAACTCCAGGTCATTTGTCACATACAGCTCTGCCAGAAAAACGCGACACAAACACAGATTCACATTAGAAGAATTTCGTCCTACCACAGTCCCTTAATACCGTTCTGGTCACGGAAGTTCTCCGTCACTCTATGGGAGAGCTTGATATGCTGCCAAGAGCAGCCGCTACGCGGCGCAAGCCGTCCTAGGGGGGCCATCGCCCCGCTGCGCCCGGCGGAACGCACTGGCCGCGGCGGCATCCCGAAGGCGTTGTGTGGTGGCAGCTCGCGGTTTCTGCATCAGCGAAACGCGAACTTCATGTGCCAGTGCACCGTGCTCAAGGTGGACGGCATGAAAATTCGAATGAACAATGCCTAAGACGTGCTGTGTGACGGGTTGCAGCTCCGGATACCGAAGCAACAAAGAAAAGGCGTCGCTCTTCTGTTTCCCAAGTAGCGCCCTACTCCGAGAGAAATGGAAGCGAGCTATACCGCTGGTTGGAAGCTGGCGGTTTCAGCTTCGAAAGTAAGAACGTCCGGGTGTGCGAAAAGCATTTTGATGCTAGCGACGTTGTGAGAACCGACGAGCACATCGTGAACGGGGTGGTCGTGTCGCTTCAGCGAGAGAGACCGAGGCTTCGCACGAACGCCGTTCCAAGAATTTTTGACGGGCTCCCAGCGTACCTGACAAAGCCACAAACAAAATCGAGGGGCTATTTGAAAGTACCTAGCAGCCGTCTTCTTGCTCTCCTGAAAATTGTTGAAGAACATGTAGAGACGTACACGGTGCAAAACATTGCATGCGGTGACGTGTACGCGAGGATTGTTGAGGGCATTTTGCTCGACAGCCGCACAGCGTCAGCAAGTGTAGGTTGTCTGCTGCACTTTTTAGGAACAACAGCTGAGGTTGTACACTTTTTTTTGAGATGTAGATTACATTTCTTCGCTCGAGAAAAAAACAAAGCCTCGCGGGCAACTGTGCGCAGTTCATGCCCTGCAAGTGGTGGGTGGAAGCCCAGTGTTAAGCATAATGGCTGTGTATGTGAGCACGCCTTCCCATTTGTATATAGTGTTGTATATCTTGTATACAATACACTGTATTATTTTCGTACTATTCATATTTATCTGCATATAGTGTAAATAGTGTATATGCAAATACAGTTTATTTTAGGCAGTGAGCTAAGGCAGAGTGCAGCTGTTAATGAAACGAAATATACATTGTACAGTAGAGTAACAGATTGTGTAACGTTTCTCAGAACAGCTGCAATAGTTTCTAGTGCTTTTCTTCTCCAAAGTGTTGTTCTCAGTGTATTTTGTGTAAATAAATGCTTTCCAACTTTCTCCCCATTACATGCACCATATGTTAATCTCCCATTCATAAGTACACACCTGACTACTAGGCGGCGTATCATTAGCACCAAAAGTAAGATTTATTGCATGCCTTAAATCATAACCGCCCTTCCCCCACTCCCACCCAAAAAATAAAAACAAATGTGTGATGAGGTACCTCGGTAGTGGCAGAGGCGGCCAAGCGGCTAGCACTGGCATCAAACGGAACTTCCAGATTAGGCTGCTGTACTTCCGTTCCAGGAGAAATCATGGGTTGTCGGCCGGTAAATAATAATGCCCTAAACAGTAAACACAAGGAAACGTCAAGCGGCGGATGTCCCGTGTAAACTGCGTGGAAAGAAGTGGTCAATCAAATGTTGGGCACGTTTAGAGCGGTCGCGAAAGCCCTCGGCATCGAAAGTCCCCGCGTCAAAAAAGCGATCGGACAAACGTGTGTCCAAAACAACTGCGCATTTGGGTATAAACTCCATTGAAAGGTCTGGAATAAAACTTCTGGCTCAACCATTCAGTTCATTTGAATACTTATGTAGTAGCACGCGAGAAGCGAGCCGGATATAAACCAATGTGATTGCTCCTGTACTACCCGGTCGTGTTTCATTTCGTTCACCTTCCTCCCCCTATTAGCGGCCCTACCAGAATATAAAGCTCACCTACCGCATAAACATAATCGCCCTTTGGCCGGGCGCAAATACAAACATGTTGTCGAGCAGATCAAGCAGTAGCTGCTCGCATCAAGAGCATGGAGCATAAGCATCGTCTTTTAACACTTGCGAGCTATAGCTCGCAAGTACCGCTTCGAGGCATCGTAAGTATGCATATTATTGGGCTATGAGACAATTATTGAAACAATTGCGTTATCGCGCGGTGTGAGAACACTTTTAATGCGCTGCTGTTTATAAGGTGGGCCCGCACTTCCAAGTAAACTACGCGTGCGTTCCAAAGTAAACAGCTCTCATTCGTCGTCGACTCTGGATCCCGTTTCAACTTATTTATCTGGTGGCATTGATGCGTTCAGAGACGTTTAAAAAAAGGTAACAGGAAGAACAGCACGCACACAATCGCGTCGAAACGTCGGGGTCAGTGCGCATACAAGCCCAGCAGTGGCGGCGGCTTGTGGCCCCCATACGACGGGTGGCGCCTCTAGCGACAGATTTTGTCCCTGTATCAACCTTCGGGCGGAGTTTCGTGACCAGAAAAGCATTGAAGGACTCTGGTCCTACTAACATATATTTCGCTTCTCTTTTTTTTACGAGCCACAAGGGACTGGAATGCCTTAGATGAAATTATTCTTACTCAGTCTACGCTAAAAATATTCCCTGAGCTCGTAAAGGAAGCTGTTTGACGCGGACGCATGTCACTCTGTTGCTGTTTTATTGCTATTTTGCTGTTGTGGTATGTTTCATGTATTGCTTACTGTGAATGAGTTAGGAGAGGGAATTTTGTTTATACGTGTAGATGTCTATTCCTTACAGAGCGCATAATTTGCGGTCGCATTACTTCTGTACATTCATGTGTGAATTAACTCCCGCTCCTGTAATAATCCCTCTGAGATTTTGCAGTATTTGAAAAGAGAAAAAACTAAAAATTAAAGGGAGGCTTGCAAGCAGTATATTACGAGAGAGAAGACAAAATACAGCCATATACGCACTCTAACGTGGGGCTGCGAAAAATATTGCGTGCTTTTTGGAGCATGGCAACTGTTCTCGAAATAGCATGAGGATGTCTACGCGTGCTTTCGTCTGATTTGTGCGCTACTCATTTATTACATTTTACGAAGAGAAAAACAAACGAATTGACCACAGTTTTCTGTTGACATTGTGGTTCCTCTGCTTCATGAGGTGACCAAGCATAACTCTGAGGAGTGGCGCAGGTGGCTCTCGATCCGGCTGGAGTTTCTCGGCTACAGCATCGTCTTTATAGCCGCGCTGCTGGCTGTCCTCACAAGGGAGACTCTGTCGCCAGGTCTCGCCGGTCTCTCGGTCAGCTACGCGCTCACGGTAAGTTCACTTATTCTTAAAAAAAAAACTGTAGTGTGAGCTTTAGGAGAGAGAGCAAGTGTGGCAATCTCTAGGCTGCCATCATTAGTATTATTAGAAGTTCATGAACAAATGTACACCAACATGCATTTTTTGTTGAACAACTAATCAACCTTTTTGGAACTTTTCCCAAGTGTCTCGTATGTTCGTTGTATACTACTGCTAGTACTCTGATGTTATAAATACATGATTTATATCCTCAAAAGTGTGATATATCCGATTTTATTATATTCTTTCAAGCTTTTTCTGTTTCTGTACGTACATGACCTGTATGTTTACGTTGTATCTTCCACTCCTGTAATAGCCCTGAACAGGGCTCACAGTATTAATAAATGAACATAATTAACAAATGAACGAAAGGGACACAACAGGATCAAAACTGCTGCCTACAGAGGGGAGGGGGGAATAGTCACTTCATCCATCTTTATATCTATCTTTCTCGGTAATCCGTAACATGAAAATGGTCTGATGTATGCATTACTTGTGTGATGATTGACATTAAACAATCTCCAAGGACTCGCGTTTGTTGTGTATGTGCCGATGTTGTCCTCGTCTTTCACACTGTTACACTAAGATATGTTAAACCAACGAGTCGACAAGTTGACCCTCCATGGTTCACTGGACTTATGCAAGAGTTGTTACGGCGTGACAAGACTGTGTGACAAACATAAGTGATTGGTCGCAACATGAAAATTGTGAAATATGCATTACGTGAGGACTCATTTTCGCGGCACTGTTTCGGTGAGCAGTTCAGCCGTTTTGTGGAGTGTGTATGTACCAAAATGTGGATGGGATGATGGCATTGCGCGACGAACAAACCTGACAGGTGTGCATTCTCTGTACGATATTGAATGCTTCTTGTGCGTAGTTATACGAGGCTATGCATGCATGACAAACATGTGGTAGCGAACAACATGGTATTACCATGAATGGCTCGGTTTGTCTCGAAGATTAGCAAGGCAGTTCTCAACTCCTCAGTGCTTCCCATTAAATTGATTGCCATAGTGCGTGTGTTCCTCAAGATGTTTTTATTAAGTGATGCTTTGATGACTTCGGTGGCGGCGTAGTTTGCGAAAACTCGGCGTCGATAAGTGTACCAAGAATGCAGATGTGCACAGCAGCCCTCCAAGGTGCACCACTACTCGTGAGCGTATTTGAAACATCCGATTCTCCTATGAACGATGTCCTCCCGCTCGTGGGCTGACCTGGTCAAGGTCCCGCCACGTAGCCAAGTCTTTCTGCTGCATTTGTCGTTACACGCATGCTGCTTGCTGTACCAGCCCATCGCTGTGCAAGTAGCTGGTGCTATTTTCAGCACGAAAATAGAAATAAGCTAGAAAAACACAACGAAAATTTTCCCACTAAAACTAAAAGGCATCTCAAGCACTGCTCAAGCCAGGGGATTTTCTTATATAGTGCCTAATAAGTATGACGGCATAAACGGAGACTTCACTAAAATAAAAACTTGGGCGAGTTGGTGTCAGTTCGTGATATAGAGGAGCGCGAAAATACAACACACGAAATAAAAGTACACAGATGACACGCTGATAGCAAATGAAATATTTTTATTTGCGAAAATCACATTGAACTGTCATGCAATATTATCAAAATCAATGAGTTGATAGAAAACTATAAACCGTGTGCTCAGCAGGCCAATGTCCAGTGTCGTCTTATGAAGGGCTGACTGATGCAATCCAGCCCCTCCCTGTGGATGACGAGGCCCTCAACAACCTCCCGCGGAGCCCCTGTTTGTTGTCTGATCAAAAGCAGGCTGGCGGCTACCTTGATCACAGCCAGATGGGTGAAGGGACTTCCCACTGATGAGCTGCTGTGCTCTCGCATACGCATCTACCGGTCTGCCCGATGTACGCCTAGCCGCATGCCAGTGGTATTCTGTAAACAACGCAACTTGCTCAAGGAACAACACATTGCTTTTTACATGCGTGATAGCACATCCCCTTTTTTTACACTTATGTGGCCTAACTATTTTTCTGAAAACTGCTGAGCAGATGTGGCCCACTTTATTTTCGTGCAGAGACACAATATCGCGAGGCCACTCTCTTTATGTATTTATTGTATTTATTGCTATGTATTTATTGCCAGCTTCGTTTCGTCCATTACTTTTAGCTGCAAACGTGCAGCGAGTTCTTTATAAATGTGCGCTGACTGCCGTTGTCTAACATTCTTCTTATGTAGCAAGCCTTATTATCTCCTCCCGCCCAACAACGGAAGGTGTGTAGATGCACTTCTTCGTCAAATAGGCAGCTTGTTGCGGCTATTGATTTTTCACTCTCATCTGACTGCGTTTCGCTAACAGATGCTGTTATAGTGCTCATTTTTTATCACTTCTTTACTTTGTGCTTGGGTTAAACATGGTTGTTGCGTGCCTTTTTTTGCAAGACTTGCAATCTATGCGTCTTTTGCAATCTCCGACTAGGTGTCCTCGTATAGCTCATTTATAGCACCTCATACTTTTGCCTTATCTATTTTTTTTCTCTTCAAACGTTAGAGAACCGTCGCATACTTGTGTTTCATGCCTATTACTTGCAGAAGAAGCACTCACCACATTTCTGCTTTTTGGTATGCGTGGTATGCAGCAAAGATGCCGATGAAACATGCTTGCTGTCGTAAGTGCGTTCAGATGAGTCCTGTGTCCCGGATCACTCTCGGCTTTCGATTTCCATGCGGGTAAGCTGTAGAAATCTTTCGAGATCTTGACACAATGACTCTGTTCCTTCATTTTTTGCAAACGATGCTGGAAACATAACGTCATTTATTTGGTGCTGGCGGTGAAAAGAAATGATCTCTTGCGGCAGTGCTTTTAGGAGTAAATCATAGAGCATCGCAGAAAAGCTGCTTGTGGGCACCCTGAGCACATCAAAACCACGCATGTTAATCTGAACTTGATCGTGTAAATTGCGCAGCTGTTTGGCATCAGATGCCAGTCTCACGCACCTAATGTCTCTCAAGGTTCATAGATGGTGTTGGTCGATTTGCAGTTTGTCTCCATATCTGTCGTTGAGTAGCTGCACAGCATTCACATAGCATGCACTTGTAGTCACAAATCCAGTGATTGCTGCAGCAGCTTCTCTTTTCAAGTCATTCTGATGGCAATTAAACTTGTCTGTCTCACTTAGGGCCGAATTTGAACGAACGGTACCATCAAACTGCTCCCTGAAAAAAGTCCACTCACGTATGTTTCCGTTAAATGGCTTCATCTGAAGTTGAGGTAGGCGAGGACATACGTTCACGTTGCCGACGTTCGCAGAAACATGAACGGTACTCGCGGAATTTCCAGCGTCGACGGATCTTTGAAAGTTGTTGATGTCCTCGGTTTGACACTGAAGGCGTGCAAGTATCGCGACCACTTGATCCTCATAGTCTGCTGCTGTGGCGCATTATACGCGAGCTCCTCCGTTGGGATGTACTTGTCCGTGTCTTCGGATATCTTTTTCAGCTTCTCATTGCTGGATGTCAGCCGCTCCTTCAAGGAAATGAGTGTCGCTCTATCGACGCTCTCGCTTCCCAAACTAGCTGTCGCCTCGTTTATTATCTTGGTATTCTGAGCGCGTGCCGATGTTCTCTTCTGTTTCAAACAATTCATTGCTGGCAGTGTACTCACAGGAAGCCTTGGGCTTGTGTCAACTTGTTGACGTTGCTGGTTGGGGCCACCGACGAAGGCTTACCAAGCACTGACGATTATTCTTCGAAGAAATCGTACTTGTTGATGCTGCCGCCCATGTCGCCGATTAGCCGCAGATCACGGGACTTCGGCCCCACATATTGTGGCTCGACACAGCCGATCCTGCAGCACGCGGCAATAAAAAACAGAGCGTACTGAACACAACTACGTTTTAATGGTGACAGAAAATTCGAAGAACCACACACGTGCGTAGTGGGTCAGCCCTTTGCTTCCTCTTCGTCCTATCAGCTGCGACTCTGTGGAGGCTAAAGAAAGTTATTGCAATAAATGCGTTCGCACTAAGAAATAGTACCATAACTTTTGCGCCTGAGATACCCTATATACGCCCTGAGACACGCCCTTATATACTGCTGTCACTAAGTTGTTCTAGATCACTGCGTGTTTTTATCACTTCTTAATTTTTTATCTTCAGTCTGTCGTGACGCTGTGCGTGCGCGTTTTCATTAAATATAGTTATGTGGATCAGCGCACGCGTGAAATAGCCTCAGGTTTTTTCATTACGTCTAATAACACTTGCATAAGTCATAGATCTATCACTCTTCATGACGAAGAATAAAACTTCCTGTTAGACAAGACATGAAGCGTGTTGTGCTCTAACACATGTGCCCATGCGCACAGTTTTGGTGACTCATTGTCTGCTATATATGTCCTTTCTTTTTCTAAGTAAATTTCAGTTGACAGTTCAGTGCTGTGTCCTTTCTCTGTCCGTATCTGATCCGTTGCGCTGTAAAATATTTTCCACGACGAACATCCACCAACTCGTACAACTCGCGATTCTGCTGTAGCAAAACAGCTATTTGAGTTAGCTGAAAGTAGTTCATTGTCAATGAAAAAAGTTGCGCGCTGTATGGGACTAGAGAAAATAGAGCAACATAGGTGCACACTTGCAACTGGAAGTTCATTGAAAAGACAACTTAGATACCGCACATTGTTACCGAACTCGTTAGAACACTAATCGTACTATTCTTCGGTTTCTTCGCGTTTGCAATGTTGTTTTCTTATTTGGGGAGTAACGTGGTGGTCTAAGCTAAACAACCATATCTCGCAAAAAAGCTCTTCGTTGCATTCGAAACTTATCGTACTAGGAACACGTATCTTCGCACTTCTTTATCAGAACACATTTTCTTTTTTTTTTTTTGAAATCGTGAGTTATATGACCAGCGAATCTCTGCGAGCTCATATTTGTAAATTACAGAAATGATCCTCGGCGGTTTCTCGCTACCTACATAAACATCTCTCAATACTACAAAGTTAAACATCCTACTTCTTTTGAAACCAAGACCTAAAACTGTCTATGGTCAGCAACTTTAAAAATGGCAAATTCCTAATCTGCTAAACAGTCATACCAAAGTACTAACTTTCGTAATGTCTGCTTCTTCTACATCATCTTTTTCAGGAAGAAGTCGAAGATGTGCATCTTAGAGCTCATATAGGCATTAAAGGCTTGAGGGCACTTAGCTATTTCATTTTCTCACATTAGTATGCATAAAGTGTTGTATATGTACCTTCTCTTGTGGCTAATCATGTACAAAAGCCTGCGTTTATGCTCCCATAAGTAACACTGTGGTCTACACTTTGTTTTATTTGCTTTGCAATGATACGTGCATGTAATCCAACCGATTTTGGAAGCCTTGTATTCTTTGACTGAAAGCAATCATATGGAGAGTCCCGGCTGGTTTTTTGCCACCGCCGTCGCCACTGTCATTCATCCTCATCATCAGCTGGACTACGTCTTCTGCAGGACAAAGGCCTCTCTCACGTTCCGCCAATTAGCTTGGTCCTGTGCTTGCTGCTGCCAATTCACCGTCATTGCAATGCGCCGTCCTTCACGTATACGTATATGTATGTATATTTATGCAGGGAAAGATGCGCTAGCCTCCTATTTCTGCAGAGCGAACATCACCTTTCTGGCCGTGGTCTTCTCGTGGGGGTGTAGTGGTAGTAGTGGTTAGAAGAGAAAGGCACCTAATTTCTGCCGCCCAGTAGGAAGTGAACAAGTGGGGGGTGGGGGGGGGGCGCTTATGGTCGCGGCAACCATCATCGCATTCGTTGTGCCACATAGCAAATGGGAACTGCTACGGACTGCGCTCGGAACACGATAAAACCGTGCCAATTGTTTACCTAGAGCGGTCATGCTCTCCTACACCAGTGTTTTGTAGAGTTACGTGAGATCGGACCTGAAGGAGTTTACTGCCATCTTTACTTCGTATAACATTGTAATTTCTCGTTATCACTATTTTTTGTAGTCTCTATTTTGTATAGACTTTCTCCTAGTTCTTTGTAATGTGATTCTGTTCTTAATTCTTTTTTTAGCCAATGCAGTCGTTATGCTAATGCTGTTGTTCTGTGTGAAGAATATACAGTGTGGTGGTAGAAACCGTCAGGTGACTCATAATGTCTCCTTTTGTCTCCTCCACTACGGCAAACATGTATTGTCAAACCAATAAAAAATGAAATAGAATAAAATGCTTACAAAAGTTATCACACGAAACAGGTTTTTGCCAAAAAAAAAAGCTGCGCCCCTTTTTTTGCATTCACAATGCTCAGTGGTTCATCGGCGCTTGTTCTTTTTGAACTTCCTTATCGGATCCGTGCTTGCACGTCCTGCTTTTTACAATGAATACTTACCAAGTAGCTCAGCTTTCGGTTATTTTCAGCTAGAGTGTGTTACACAAACGTTTCGTGGGTGCCTTTCATTGTCTAATAATATTAGTTTACTCTTACGAGGCACTCACGTGTTGTGACTCTTGGCTCCCAGGTGACCTCGACGCTGAACATGCTTGTGCGGGCCACATCGGACACGGAAACTAATCTCGTCGCCGTCGAGAGATGCTTTGAGTACACTCGGACACCGCAGGAGGTGAGTCTGTTTTAGAGCACACTTCACGCTTGACTTAGTGTGATCACAAGCGTTTACAACAAAAGTTGTTACAAACGCCTGTGCTACAGCGGACACTGCAAAAAACAAAGCATACAGCAGCAACTACAAACCATGTGAGCTCACTCATAGCCATATGCGTACTTACCGGGGAAACCCCAGTGTAAGAAGTGGGAAAGGGCTTACTGACCTTCTTAATCCGGCGTGGTCTTCATCGGCCGAAAATCAGCCAACCAACAACTAACACGTTCTCCGTGCCCTGTTACTATGTGCGCTGGAAGGCCGCTGTGCGATACTTTTCCGCCTTTCGCGTATGCGGTAGTGGCCAGAGCTGGGAGAATTGGTGCTTATTCTTTTCTTTTATGGTGAGAGGAATTATATGGACAGTCTCGGGTGGTATTTGCCGCCACCACCGCCATCATTCCTTCACGAATATGCATATGTATGTATATATATGCATGGAAGGATGCGCTAGCTTCCTCTCTTTGCGGAGCGAACATTGTCTTTCCGACCGCTGCTTTTTACGCGCGCTTATAGCGTGAGCGAACAAGGGTGGCGGGGGGGCTCTGGTTGCCGCGCTGTGGCTGCCACTATCAATGGGCGCCTTGTGCCCCATAACAGGCGGGAGCTTCTATGGACTGCGCTCTCAACAACAACAACAACAAAAAAAAACCGTGTGCCTGGAGCGGCCCTGTTCTCTTACACCAGCATTTTGTAGAGTTCGGTGAGATCAAATTTGAATGAGTTGACTGCCAGCCTTACTTCACATAACATTGAATTTGCAGTTTTCACATTCACTACGCCACCTTTCTGGTGTAAGTGATTTTATGCAATCATCCATGCCACAATCGTGAACTGCACTTCAAAACATGCGCAAATGTATATATAGCCACCGAGAAAGCTTCTTGAGACACAGCTAGGTATGCAGCGGCTATGAAAGTTTGAAGGTTCTGTACCGTTTGTCATAAGTTATTCGTGTTCATATGTACGTGCGATTACTTTTTGTGCGTCATATGTGCGTGAGAAACGCGGGGCATGTTTAGATCTGCTTACCATTTTTTGCGTGACCTTACAATTTGTTGGTATCACGTGCATTGCTTTGCCTTTGCGGCAAAGCTGCGACTTTTTTTAAGCCACCTCACATCACCTGAGACAGGGACGAAAACCAGAAAATTTTATAAGAAAAGAGTGCGCCTAAGCTCACTTGGTCTCTTCTCTCCTTACGCTATACTACTTGTTCGTCAAGCACCTGTTTTGAAGAAATTGGTTATCTCCTGAAGAATTCTCTGCTCTTTTTCCCCTGCTTCGGCGAGTCGACGAGGGCGCAGCACTGTTTCGCGTTCCAGTGCAGCCGATCTCGCAAAGCTGAAACAAAACACGAGTGGACAAATACTGGGTAAATTTAAACCGCGCTTGGCAAGCGGCACTGGAGTAGAGCATGGGATGAATGCAGAATAACTATTTTATTAAAACCACACAATCTTGCATATAACGATGTGCATGCGCTAAAACTTCGCAACGGCATGATAGTACATTTGCCCCGCAAGACCTAGATGTAAACAAGAAAATTAGTTTATTGAATATATCTTCACTGACGTACGTATCTGCACCATGTATAGTTATCTGTGACTTCCAGGATTAAATCGGTGGTATTGGGGCGTACCACATTCAACGGTGACGTAAACTGCCACCTGAGAAAAAGAAGAGAAAGAGGCGAAAGTGATGCCACAAAATATGGTATAGCTTGAATAGCGTGGCGGGAAGATCTAGGCTTCTCGTTTTCTCGGCGCTCTGTAATTTTTCACGTCTTTGCGCCATTTCTGACGTGGCGAAATCAACAGATACATGAAGGCATAAAACACACATACGTGCCCCTACATTGTAGGACGCAAGCGGCATATGAATTTGCCTTGACCGGCAGTGCCGCATGTGTGGGCCAGACATATGTAATTATGGTCAATGAAACGCTCTAACTGACCTATTACACTATAAATCGCCTGTTAATTACTTGTCGGGCACATGCCAAAAAGATAAAGTCGATTTTTAGTAGCATGAAGGTGTTCGTGCAAGCGAAGCGCCAAAGAGCACGTGGCATACTAGAAGCTGCAAAAATTCAAGATAAGCGCGTCAGTGAAGCATCGGCCATAGCGAGGGGTTTCAGCCAAGTAGTGGGACGAGGACAAATACAAAAGGAAGATACTAGCAACTTAATGTTTATTGAAACTTATCTGGCAATTTCATGGCATTTATCAGCGAATGGGATGCCCACAAATTCGCAGATTGGTTGTCTGTGTGCATGGATCTTTTTTTCTTTTTCTGTTAATAGTATGAAAGAAGTGATGATGCATAATTATCCACTTTTGTCGATGGCCAAGACTGCTGAAATCGTGTACGTTCTTTCTTTTCATCTTGATAAAATGCAGTTCTCGTGCAGGTTTACCATGCAATTACGCTAAAGTTCGTGAGGGGAGAGTATATCTGTCTGTCTGTCTCTCTCTGTCTGTCTCTTTCTTTGTCTCTCTCTGTCTGCCTGTCTGTCTGTCTGTATGTATGTCTGTCTTTGTGTGTCCGTCTGTGTCTCTGTGTGCCTCTCCCTGTCATCGTCTGTCTCTATCTGTCTCTCTGTTTCTCTCTCTCTCTCTCTGTCTCTGTCTTTGTCTCGCTGTCTCTGTCTAGCTGTCTCTGTCTGTCTCTTTTTATTTGTCTCTGTCTGTCTTTCTATCTGTTTCTGTCTGTCTGTCCCTCTATCAGTCTGTCTCTCTCTCTTTTTGTGTGTGTGTGCTCTGGTGATCACCCTTTTAACTTGGGGTGAACAAAAAATTAGTAAGAGAGGGTAAGATAATTTGATGAATATGACTTGCTGGTCTTGACATGTATAATGTCACAATGCCGTCACGTACGCGTAGCTATGTGCCGCAGGTGATTGAGTTTACAGCTACCGAGGAATGACGAGTACAGAAGTCGGTAATTTTAAAGCGTGAGCTTTAAAAAAAAACTGATACCGGCAGTGTTGACCCTACTGTGCAAAAACTAAATCTGAGGGTCCCAGCAGGAATCCAACCCAGCGGTTCTGCGTGGCATTCAAGTATTTGCCAGAGAGCCATGCCATGTCTCGGAGCTATTTTGAAGTAGACCTCATTGTTCGTTAAACATCAATTGTGGTTGAAGTGCTGGCTATGAAACATTAAAAATATCCCATATGTACTCCCAAGATACAGCCGTCGCGTCGGGTGAGCGTCAATTGTAGCTAGAAGCCATGCACTCAAGGTGGTTTATGTGCTAGTGTGCAAGGCTGTTACCTCGTGAGCCCCAGTGCTTCATATTAGCTTACCGATTCTGGCGCTCCTAATATTCATACTGCTGTTGGCATCCTTGCGCAACTCTAATAGACTGGTTATATAAATAACATGCGCCTGTTCAACGTGTCTCTGTGTTAACTTGTACATGTCTTCAGTGTCACTTCGTAACGTTTCGCACAATAAGCAAATCACAACACAGTCGCCTCGCATTCTTCGCATAGAATCAATTCCTAAGGTACGTGAGATCTGCTCATTTTTTTACCTTCGTATGTAAGGATAATGTTTCGAAGACGTCCCTTCAAAACAAAAAAGCTAATATTATGGAAGGCGCACCAAATTCACAGCGAAAGCCAGAAGAGCGGCCTTTCAAAGCCTTTTATAAACACTCCTTGGGTAACTGGTGCAAGCACACTTGCTTGATACCCACTACGGCATTAAAAAAAATAGGTGTCACAGGTCCCGTTAACTCGGGAGGCAATCGCCGGGCTAATTCCAAGGGCCGTAGTATCGGCCCCCCGAACCGCACCACGAAAGCGTGGACAATTTAGAAGTGGTCCTATTTGGCGCGCCAGCGGACGCCGGCGGTGGCCCAAAGAACAAGTCAGAGCCGAGAGTTGATAAACAAAACAGAAATATATTCTCAATAATGGCAGATAAAAATGATACACAAATATGCACACTCGAAAATAGTTGAATACAATATGTCACCAATCAAACAATGTACTACACAGTTCAATCAGCCACACTCGAAACAACGGACACAGACAACAATACGCACTACAATGCAGTGGCATGCATCGAACAACCAAGACACTTAAAGACGAAAGAGTTCAAAAACTTAGAGTCCAAAGTCCTTAAGACAAAAGACTGAATGATACTCTTCCGAGAATCACTCCCTCAAAGTCAAGCGTTGTTGTCGTTCCGCTGCCCCCGAAGTTTCTCTTCCAGGAAATCTCGCGTCTTCAATTGGCCTCTCTCCAAGCTCCAAACTTCTTCGCCGGAAACACGTCGGCTTCACGCACGCAGCGGTTGCCACACGTCTTCGCTCAATAGCGGTAGACACACGCTCTTGCCTGTAGCTCGAGCCTTCACCCCTCAGGTGGAAATCCTCTTCTTCTCCTGCTTTGTCAATACGGACAAAACCTTCGCCGACTACACGGCGGAATACTCTACGCGCTCTGGCGCTAACTTCCGTCTTCTCTTGATCTCCCATCTCGGCTGCTCTATTGAATACCTTCCGCGCGAGATTCCAGAAAGTTCTCATCATTTCGTCGGTGCGATGCGCAGCGAAGGCAGGGGGAGAGCGCGAGACGTTACGGGGGCCGTCCGCGACGTATGACTCAGCCCGGCATCACCGCGCCCCTTTCCATCGAGAAAATTCCAGGGCTTGCTCGGCCACCGATGTGGGGTGAGGAGGCTCGTCGGCGAACATACGCTTCCGAGGGGAGAGGGACGCGTGCCCGGGGAGTCTTTGGATGCTTGTTTTCTTTTTTTTATTGTTGACCTCGCGGCGTCACTCCGGCGTTTCGTCGCGAGAATTTGGCGGCTGCCCTTTTTTGAGCGCTCGTTTTGTGACACTGCCCCCCACTTTAAGAATATTATCTCATAATATTTAAAACCACACAAACGTGCGCGAACAGTCCCCACACTCTCAAAGACTAACATAGTCCGTCGCTCATGACA